GGCCAGTCCCTACCACCAGGCATTGCCCCAGTTTTGACCCAATGGTTATGGGGCCCCGAAGAGCCGCTTCTCCTCTCTGGCTGCCAGGCCTCACTGTAACTGGAATGATTTGCGCTCCCTCCCCAGATCTGGTGTTCAGCAGAGATGCAGCAGCCACCCTGGGCAAAGCACATAAAACAGGGTGTCACCACTAGAGGGGGCACATGATGGCCAAGCTGGCAGAGTCTGGACTCTCCTCCCAAATGACCAGGGTGCCTTTGACCAGACGCCCCTGAGCCGCCCGAGGGGAGATGAAGGCGCCATCAATGGGGCGCATAGGGTTGAGAGCATAGGGTAGAGAGGCGTGTGCCGGGGTGCAAGGACGGCCGGAATGACACGCAGCCACAGGAAGGACCCAAGCAGTCAGGCCAAGTGAGACCAACCAGAACCCGAGTCTGCCCTGCAGCCACACACGTCTCCAGGACGCACACACAGCCCAGGCCTGTGCTTTCAGAGTGCAGGTCCCTGGGACAGGGAGGGAAACCACGGTTATGAAGACTGAAGGGGACTCAGGATCCAGAGTCAGAGGCAGGCAGTGCCCCAATGCCCACACTGGGGTGGCCTCCGAGACCAGCTCAGCCAGAACCTGCAATTCACAAGTCCTGAAGGGGCTCGAGTGCTCCCCACCCCCGCCCCACACAGCAATAAGCCACAACTGCTATGATTATGCTTTTGCGCCAGATGTTTCCATCCGCAGTTTCCATCTTTGTAAGGTGTGATTTTGCCTGTTGTTTGAATGGGAACCAGGTGGAAAGAATTTAAGTGGCTTGCAGAAGCAAGATTCAATTCCGGGGAGATCAGAGGCCACCCTCTCCCCAAGCTGCCCCAAGCTGCCTCCCACCACCTTCACCCCCCACACACACACTCACACGCACGCGTGTGCACATACATACAGACACATCCTGGGAGCTCCTCTTCCCCTCCCAGTGTGCAGAGAAACCCCAGCCCGATACTCACCCCCAAATCACTGCTCTCTAACCTTGTGAAGATGAAAAGGGATCCCCTCCTCAGGCCTCAGTCTCATCCTGACAACCCCCTACCAGTCCCCGCCTGCTAGAGCCCTCGCCTGGGGCCAGTCACCAAGGAGCCCCTCCGTTCTCCTTCCTGGCCCCCTCTTGGCTCTGAGCACCCCGTGGGATGACCCAGCCTCACATCACAGGGAGGTCTGGGCTCTCTGGAAGAGCTCCGGTGCCAGAGGGTAGGCAGCTGCGCCTCAGGCTGGGCTTCATCCAATACCCCCTCACTGTGCACAGGCCCTGCTGGGGGCTGCCCGCTAGAGGAGGGGGGTTGTGAGCAAGGAAAGGAGGCCCGCAGTGGGAGAGTGCTGGCACTGGGCCAGGATGCCAGGTGCCCACTGTGCAAGCTCTGGGGGCCGCGAGGTGACTAGAAGTAGTTCCCAACACAGCAGAGTGTCCATTCTATTATGATAGGTTTGTTTCTTTGGGTTTCTAAGGGCCATGAGGGCAGGGACCTTGCCTGAGTCCCCAGGGCCAAGGGCAGCACATGCTGAGTGACCCCCTGGCCCACATCAGCCGGCCCAGCAGTGGTTGTGTGTGTCATCCATCTGTGCCCATTTGTCTGTGAACCCGGGCAAGGGCCATGGGTGTGGGAGGGCACACAAGACTGTCCTGCTTACCATGTCCCGGTGCCTAAAACCGTGCCTGAGACCTAGTGAAGATATTTGTTAAATCTGCCGCAGGCAGGCAGTGATGTCTCTTGAACTCTGCTGAGAGCGAGCTCTCCATCTAGGGAGCCAGCAGTCGGCTCCACTTCAGAAAGCAGTGCCTTTGCCTTTAGTGGGAGTAGGGGCCTCCCAGACACCCAGGAGACAGAGAAGACCACCCAGGAGGCAAAGCTTGAAAGGTTTCTGCCAGGCCTCCCAGATCCCTCTAGCCCCCAACCACCTCCAGTGTCGGACAGACGAACAACATGGCCTCCGAGACTGCCCTCCAATCTCTCCCAATCAATGCCATCCATTCCTTCTCTTTCCCGCCCCCTCTCATGACTGGCCCCTTTTCTCCTGGATCTGCAACCCCCTTCACCTCCTTTCTTCCCAACAGGATTTAAAGGAACACCTGTCTTTCTCATCTTAAGATCTTTCTGGACTCCATCTTTCCAGATTATCAATATAGGGGGCTGACATTTGGGCCCCTCTCTCTGCGTCATCCCCCCACATTCAAATCCTTCAGACCCTGGAATTACTACTCTTAAAGATGCCCCCATTTTGACTCTTTCCCAGGGTCCAATGTTACTAATGGTTTGCTCACTTCTGTTTCCCTAGGTCTGGGGCCTGTTACATAATCATGGTGCCAATGACCTGATGGAAGCTAACAATTTAAAGGGCAGGGTTAGGTTGGAGGCACATAGTGAACTTGGCCATCATAAGGGAGACATTGCATTCTGCTCTGGCTGGGGTCTATGCAAGTCTGGCGATTCCACCGTCTCTCCCCTCGCCCCCCAAGCCGGTCCAGGCCAGTGACAGCCCAGTCCCCACGTCCCAGACCAGAGTTTCAGAGTCCAGCCCAACTTCAAAATGGCGCCAGGCCTGGTCCAAAGCAGCAGGTCTGTGCGGAGGCCATGGGCCCTGGGGTTCGCCTGGGGGCGTTTCCTGTCTGGGCCTGCGGCCCCCAACTGCTGGCAACGCGGTTTCCGGCGGGGCTGCGGCCGGGACCTGCACTATCAGCTCGGCACCAGACGCCCGGTCAGGATACTTGTGGTGAAACTGTGAGGGCGCACTCGGCCCTTGGGGTTTTCTCCCGTGTCAGCCTCTTAAGACAAATGGAGGGGGGAAAGTGACACCCAGTCCTTCTTCAGCTGTGCACCCCCTCCCTGAACTGCCAGCAGCTGCCCAAGGCTGGGGGCCTGCTGCATGACACCAATGACCACCAAGGTAGCTTAAAGCTGTGTCTGTGAAGGAGGCCGGGCCCAGGCCACTGCAGTCAGGCGACCCGGCCATGGCTGGACAGAATGGCCTGGCCTGGAGTTCTCAGCAGGGGCGAGGACACCCCAGGGAAGCGCTCCTCTCTGCCCACCACAAGGGCCTCGTAGAGGTCAGGGTAGGTAGTTCTGAAACCCAATGAGAGGAATTTGGTATCTGGGGAGCCTCACCCAGCTTCAAAGCAGCCAGGTCTGGGCTAAAGCTTTACACTCTGGGCCCCACTTCGTCTCCTGCTCCGAGATTTACAAAGGAGGGTGGGGGTACTGAGGCTCTATTTGCTATGAGGGAAACCGAGGACCAGGGAGGCGGGGGCCTGCCATTGGCCGAAGACAACATCCCAGAGCTAGGGATGAGATGCGAGGAGGCTGGGGGTGGGGTGGGGTGGGGCGGGTAGGCGGTGGATGTCTCAGAGAGCGCCCAGCCCAGAATTAGGGTTAGCCACGGGCCTCGGCCAGTCCAGCTTACCCCGCGGCCCTCACTGGGTTTCTGGGAACCCGAGTCCCCAACGCCCGTGGGCAGAGCCTTGGCCCAGCTCGGGCACCAAACGCTAGACCCAGCTCTGGTCCAGGTAGTTCCGGGACATGCGCCACTAGATGGCGCCACAGCCAGAACATTGGTTTTGGGGAATGACGTAACGCCCTGCCTTTACTGTAGGCGCAACCCTGCGCATGCGCAGCTTTTCTAGCCCAGCGGGTCTGCGCTTGCGCATCTGGCCTTACTTCCTGGCGCCCCCAGTGACGTATCCCGAGTTTCGCAGGCTCGAGAGCGCAAGCGCAACAACCTACCCTCCCCTAGGAGCAGCCCGCCGGTCCAGCAGAGGGCGCCATTGACATGACCCCTTGATTTCTGCCAAGTTTTCTATCTTTTCCTGCTCCCAAAGGGAGAAAGGATTTAACACTAAGTGGAAGGGGGGTGATGAAACTAGCCGAATGGCCCGAGGTGGTCTTTGCCCAGGATAAGCAGAGCTGCAGCTGGGACTTCCTCAGATCGCACAGGCGGCGCTGGGAGGCCGCTGGGCAAGAAATAAAGTCATTCCCGCCAGTGGCCAGGCTTGTAGGGGCCATGCTCAGACCCCTTTGAACACAGGTCAACTGCAGCCGCCAGTTCCCAACCCTTGAGGACTAGAAAGCCCAAGACCCCAGACTCAGGCCAGAATCACTGATTGGAGGAGCGGGGAGTAAGCGAGATGGGGTGGAAACCACCGCTAATGCTTACAAGCAGTTGCCCTGCGCACATTTGATACCTCACATGATGCCCACAGCCAGCCTAAGAAGCACCGCCCTATTTTACAAATGAGGAAATTGATCCCTGAAAGACCTGCCGCAGGTGAAAGTGAATGGCAGGATTCACATTTCTACCAGGCCCTCTTAACAGCGAGGCCCTCTTGTAACGTGTCCTCCATACCCACGTCCACTTCCACTGTCCTTTGGACCTTGTATCTTCCTTCCACAGCCTCAGAAACCTCACATTGTCCACAATCACTTCCCCTCTATGTTCAGCCTCCCACTTTCCACTGGTTCCTTCCCAGTGACATTTTACACACTTGCATCTCCCTCTAAAACATTCAGCTGTAACTCCCCCCAGCCACCCTTCATTCCTTCACAGCTAGTCTGACAGATCAGTTTTCTAAAGAAGCCTCACCTCAGCCCAACTCCCATTCCCCCCTACTCCAACAGGCTTCTAGAATCACTGGAGAACTTCAACAACTCACTCCTAAAACCACTGACTTCCTCTTGTTGCCTCAGCAGCACTTGCTGCTTGCTCCCTCATGAAACTTGTCTTCTGCCACACAACAGAGCCCTGGTCCATCTGCTCACTGACCACTTCTCAACCTGTCTGCAAGTGGCCACTGTGCTTGGGTGCCCTAATATTCAGTTCTGGGCCTCTTCTCACTTGATATACTTTAAAGAAGGACAAAACAAAAACTGATGGATATTGAAAACCAAAATGAAACTCAAGGGTGGGGAATAGTGGGGAGGGAGGGGTTGGTGGTGGGTGCTGGCTTAAAAAAAAAAAAAAACAGAACAGAACAGAGCAAATTTTCAGTCCATTTTATTTTCTTTTGATTACACACACTTGTAAAACACACTCACTCACAAAATACCCAAACATCAGACTAGAGTATAAACACAGGTCATCTGGGCTAAATGGATATCCTAAGACTTCAAAACAAAACCAATCAGTTATTGAAAATTTCTTTTGTTCAAAAATGCAAAGATCTGTTTTAAATGGAATTAAGATTTTTATAATTTTTTTTAAAAAAAGAGCACTTTGGGGACAAAAAAAAAAAAAACCCTAAGTTTCTTGTGTTCCGAGGCATAGCCTGGTTCTCATTCTTGAAAGCCTTTTGTAAAATACAAATGCCAGCACTTGCTGCCTCCATGCGCATCCGCCCCTCGCCACATCAACTGAAAGCGCAGCACCCTGAGGACAGCAAGTTGCAGCTACAGAGCATCCAGGATGTGGTCGATCTTACTAACAAACTCCTGGCGCTTTCCTGAGATGAGCTTCTCACTCTCAATGTAGGCGTCCTTCTTGAGCTTGCCAGCCACCAGCCGCTCCGCTTCTACTGCTGACTTCAGCACCAGCTCCTTGACATGCGCGTCCAGCTTCTGCATTTCGCTCACCTGGCCAAGGGCAAGGGCAGAGCCTAAGAGCAATCCTCACACCCGCACTCCGCAGGGCCCAGTATCTCCATATCCCAGAGCTCCTGGGCAGAGGAGCTGTGGAGGGAGACAGACTAGGCTTCATCCCCAACCAGCCCTGACCCTCGTGAGCAAGCCCCTCCATCATCCCTGGACCTCATCCGTAGCAGAGGATTGTGAGAAGTATGAAATACAGAAACCACCAGGCATGGAGCCAGGCCCACAATAGGCATTGGAGAAAGTTATTCTCTTCCCTTCAGCTTGCCAGATGAGGTCCAGGGATTCATGAGACCAAAGACCAAGGGCAGGGGGCATAGCAGCAGGACTAAAGAACTCCCCCATCAACTGATCAGGTGTCAAATTGAGGACTTTTAGCCACATTCATTCACCAGTCAACAAATGTTTAGTGCTCAGCCACGGCGCTAGGCACAGCGTGCCTCCTGCCAGGCACGATTCTTGGCTCTGGAAAAGAGCAAGAAAGACAGCTAACACAGCACCTTGCCTTCATGAAGCTGACAGGTAACACTTCAGCATGTGAGTGAAGAGTGCCAGAAAGTGCTAAGTGCTAGAAGAAAACAGCACAGAGTGAAGAGAGGGAGCGCCAGGGAGTGGCACGTGGAGAGGGTGAGCAGGGACTCTGGGAGCATCTCCAGGATAGGGTTCACATCCTCATCCAGGGAACAGGAACTCACCTTCAGTGGTCCAGGCAGGGTTCTCAGCAATCCACCTGCACTAACTCATTTCACACTCACCAACAATGTGAATTAAATACTAACAGCACCCCCATTTTACAGATGAGAAACTTAAGTACGCTTCAGGTATTCACACAGATTTACAGTCTGAATCAGCCTGGATTCAACTCCACAATTCCACTTAACTCAGCCTCAACAGCTGGAGCCCTATCCAATCTGGCCTCCAGGAAAGGAAGCAGCTGCGATCAATCCCAGCCACATGGACGGACGTGCTGCCCACGCCAGAGCGTGTTCTTCAAACCCAGCTTGCAATCAAAACCCCAAGCCGGACCTCCCCTGTGGCACAGCGGTTGAGCACTGGGTTACAAAGCTGCCCACAGCCTCTGCAGCACCGGTTCGATCCCTAGCCTCCGGGTGAGGGTTCCACATGGCGCGCAGACCTCTCCTGCCGCCCACTGCTCCCCTCAGCAGTGTACTTCGTCGGTCTGCCTGCTCTGCTCTCCGCTCTGACTCTGATGAATTCTCTCACCCTCCTGCGCTTCTGACTGTACCCAGTGCGTGTATAAATAAATAAATAAATCTTTAAATAAAAACAAAAACCCAAGCCTTCTTGCCTCATCAAAACAGTTGATACTACACAAGTCTATGACTGAAGGGTGTGATGTCATCCCACAAGCCAGTAATGAGCAGGGGCGAGAGTTGGGCACAATCCCCAAAAGTGGGGCATGGCAGGCACCAAGTCAAGAGGCGCAATGATGGCAAACACTCACTTTGTCGCACAGGTCAGAGCCCTCCGTCTTCAGCCTGGTCTGCAGCAGGGCAATCTCACTGGTCAAGGTCTTGTGCTCCGTCTCCAGGCTCTTCTTGCCACTGTTGAGGGTGGACACATCACGGGACTGCTTGTACCTATTGACAGTTTCATCGAAGTGCCGGTAGAGACCTATTCTCTTGTTGACCAGGGTCAGCACCTGCTCCGTGATGCAGGCCACCTTCATCCTGGCCTCTGCAGCTGGATCCTGAGGGGTGAGACAGCAGGCATGACTACACCCAGGCCCAAGTCCATGTGGACCTTTACCTCCCACAAATCTATCTACCACCATTTTCTGGAAATTACGGATCAAAGCCTTGCTCACACTGATCTGGACCAATTCAGTCATGGGTAGGACTAGGGCGATGAAGACAACACAGATGTTCAGTTTAGTTCTCAGGGCACACAGAGCATTATGAGGAAGGTGGGCTATTAAAGGGAAAGGCAAAGGGCTCAGCTCAGCTCAAGGAAGGCTTCCAGGAAGTTTATTATACGTCTCTCTTAAAACCTCAGGGGAAGGGCCTCTCCTGGTGGCACAGCGGTTGAGCCTGGGTTGCAAAGCTGCCCGCAGCCTCTGCAGCGCCAGTTCGATCCCTGGCCACCAGCAAGGGTCCCACATGGCACGAGGGTCGCTCTCCTGCCGCCCGCTGCTCCCCTCATCAGTGCACTTTGTCAGTCTGCCTGTTCTGTTCCCCACTCTGGCTCTGGTGAATTCTCTCACCCTCCCGCACTTCTGACTGTACCCAGTGCTTGTATAAATAAATTAATTAATTAAAAAAAAGATTCTCAACATCTCTAACAATCAAAGAGATGCAAATAAATTAATAATGAAATGCTGTTCTTCACTTAAGTCAATGGGAAAGATCAAAAGTGAAAACAGCAAACACATCTATTAAAAAAAAAAAAACACCTCAGGGAAAAACAGACAGGAACAGTAGAATCAGACTGGATTAAAGACCACAGTATTGACTCAAATTTTAAATGCCTTCTTTACTTATCTCCTCGCTCTGTCTGCACAAAGGGCCTAGCAAAAATGATACTCCAAAAGCAGCAATTCACACCACATGGTCTCTAAGTACCATTCCACACTAAAAGGACCCAGGCTCCTTGAAAAAAATACAGATGTATCGGGAACATGTTTCATGCTCAATAAGGAGGAAATACTGGGAAAAAAAATGATAGGGGTGAAAAAGAGCCAAATCTGGGACAACTTGAGCATCAAAACAAATAGCATCAATGAATGGTAATCCATGGAATAAAATAACCCACGAATCCAAACAAACAATCACTCAATGAACCAACCAGTAAGAAAAGTTGCTCCTAATAGCAGAATGCCAACCACTAATGTAAGAGCAATCAGTTTTCAACCACCACACTAACAGTTTCAGAAAATAGTTAACAAGTGCTACAACTAATGGGCGAATGTACATGAGGGTCTTTACATGGTCTCAAACACGGTACCCACCAATTATAAAGAGAAAAAGTAACTTTACAGTGAAGAAAGCAGGTAGACACCCACTGAGTCATGTAGGGAAAGTTAACTAGAGGGACCAACTGATATCACTAGAGGGACCGACTGACATCAACTACTTCCTGATGCAACACACTGGCGGTGTCACTTACCGATGTTCTTGCCAAAAATTCATCATCTGTATCTAATCACACAGAAATGTAAAGTAAACCTACACTAAGGGACGGTCTACAGAACTGACCTCTATACTTCAAATATGTAAAGGTCAGCAAAGGCTGAGGGATTGTTCTAGATGAAAGGAGGCTGAGGAACTGCAGCCACTAAATATAAAGCATAAAACGTAATTACTATAAAAACTATCCCCGGGCAACTGGCAAAACCTGACCACGGACAACCTGTTGCTTCATAGTATTGTTAACAGCTTTCCATTTCCTGGTCTGAGGCAAGTGCTGTGGTTACGTCACATGCTGAAGGAAGGAAGGTGTAGTGAATGGTTCAGGAAGAATCATTTAGACACAGAGCGGGGAGCCAAGTGTTAATCGCTACATCAAGGTAACAGGTATAAAAGAGATGTTTTTACTATTACTGAGACTTTTCTATAAATTTGGAATTATTTAAAACCAAGGCTTTTTTTTTAATCAAAAAACTAAAAGCAATTTTCAGGCTTTAAGAAATAGGGATGTTTTGGAATAAAAACTGAGACTTCTGTATGACAAGGTCAGCTAGCAGCTGTCCAAGCTGTATCACCTGTCGCTGGACAGCCTCGCTAGTCTAGGGAACCATCCAGATAACATCTTTGCTCGCATGTACCCCACTGCCACCCACACCAAGCCTTCCCTGCTGTCCCACACATGGTTCCCTTCAGTAAGTGTCCTTCCCATCTCTGCTGATCGTCACCTCCTCAGCTAGCAATTTGGGGCCTCCAGAGCCCACGGTCGCTGCCCTCTGCCCACTGCCCTCCGTTCCCACTGACTAGCACATGCTCCCTGATGACAGCCACCTGAACAAGGCATCTTTATAGTACGGACAGCAGAGGCCAAGAGCAGGGGACGGTCTCCTGGTCAACAAGGCTCTGCCTCCGGCTGTGGGAAGGACCAGTGCTCAGTAAACTACCCAAGGGTGCAAAATGACTCAATGATAGAAGAAGAAAGCCAAGAGGGTACCTTTGTGATGGAGAAGTCAAGCCTGACATAGATGATGACGGTGAAGAACAGGATGTAGAAAGCAGCCACCACCAGCAGGGGCTCCTGCAGCATGAGCACCTTGTTGAACGTGTAGTGGACCTGGGGGAGAACCAGGGGAGATGAGTGCTGGCAGGCCCGCATGGACTCCGAAACCCAGAGCAAAAGCAGGTCTGACCAGGTGGCCCCACCCCACTGTGCTCAAAGGAGGCCCAAGGAGGGAAAAATGAGCATGTCCGAGGCACCCATTATCTCGGGAGCAGACACAGAACGCAGGGCAGTGGAGCTACTCACCACAATGTCCTGAATGTGCTGTTCTACCAGATTTTTCTTGTAGGCAACAATCACAGGGCGGCCAAACGTGTCCAGGTAGGTGTAGTGCAGCTCATCTGAGGCGCGGGTGATTTCATAGGGACTGTGAACCTGGATGTTCCTGAGGCAGACAGAATGAAACAAATGTTTAAAATGCACTAATTTAGGACTGTTGAATTCAGGGGGTCTTTCAGAATCACCTTCTAAAAGGTCATACCCCCTTCTTGCACCAGGGAACACCCAACCTCCTCAAAGCCTTGAGTTGCCACCATCCTGCTGCCAAGGCAATAAGGTCTCCCTACAGCCTGTACTCACAGGATGGCCCACAGGCCCTGCAGCCCACACAGCTCTCCTGTGCAACCCACCCTCCAGGAGCCTCTCGGAACTCAAAGTGGTACCTCAAAGGTTCTGACTCCACGTGACTGAGAGCTTCCTATGGGGTGTGGCCCACACATCCTGTATTGGTTTTCCCTTCTCCTGGTAAACAGCACACCCTCACTGTGCTCAGTGGAACTACCTGCCCCCAAGGAATGTCTCAACAGGAGAACAATCAGTAGCCTCTCCTGGTGGTCAATGTGGACATGTGAGCCCAGCAAGGCAGAAAAGATGCTCCTGTTTAAAGCAACTCTAGAGCAAAGACACAGAGACTGCAAAGAGGTGTCTGCCATGCCAAGGGCAGGTGGCTGTCAGTGTCCATCAGCTCACACCTACTAGGCTCCGGAGATGCTCTAATTCTGTCCTTTCCAAAGCCTAGTTGAACTCCTCTGTTATTACAGGGGAGTCGGCTGACATTGGTCTAAGACAGCTCCGACTATGACCCTGAAAGCTCATACACCACCTGAGAGGCCTCCTTTCTACTGGTCTGACGAACCCAGGAAGAGACAAAGCCATTGCTCCATTACTCATCCCCTCTACTAGCACAGTGCAAGGGCTGCCTGGCTGCCTTGACTCTGCTTCCTCCCTGCAGCACCTCATCCCATCAGATTCAGGCATCACCCCAGCCTGTGGAGGCAACTCTGGATACTGCACCTGTCATACAAAGGCACAGTGTCTTAAAGACATTTCCTACATAAATCTTGTGCCCTCATGTTTAACTTTCCTGTTTAAATTCCAGCCAGAAGTTCCTCAACAGGCTTCTCAGTCAAAGCTACGCACTGAGCACCTTCACTGGGCCCCTACAACATGTCTTCCCTTAAAGCACCAACCATGCACCACCAGAGAAATGGGGAGCAGAGGAAAAGTGTGGTCACTCACTTGGCCCCTTCAGGCAAGATGATCTTCATTGTCAGAGAATCAATCACTTGTTCATCAAACACGTGGTCCACAAACCTCATCTTCAGTGCATACTGGTCACCTGGGGAGCAACAATCAGAGGCAATGACATGAAAAGCAGGGCTGGAGCTCGAGGGCGGCACTGGCGGGGGATGTGCTGATCTCGCAGAGAGGAGTGAAGAGAAGTCACCAGAGTTCATGGACTGAAACTAAAGGCAGGGTGGTGTTTTCCCCAATTTCCACATAAAGACAGAGTAACTAAGTAGTAAAACCCAAAACTCGTGGACCATGTTTACATGGGTTTAGATAATAGGTCATCTCCCCAAATCCCAAAACTTGAGGGTCCCCACAAAACTCCAAAAACCACAAGACCAATACATTATTAGTGTCTGTGAGGAAAAAAGCAGAGGCAATATGACCACTGACAGGCCTGAGACCAGACGAGCCCCAGAGAGACAACAGTGTTCACTAGAGAATGTGGCAGAACAAGAGCTGCTGAAACACAGGACTCCCAGTCCCACACAGCAGGTAAATGAAATGGGCCCACAGATCTGCCAGTCTAGAGTGGTTGGGTTCCTAAGGACTCTGTAAAGCCCACGAGAGCACCCTACATGGAGGCGAAACTGGTGGAAGAGAATCAAAATCGAGCATAATTGGACCAACAGAGCTTCAGGAAAACAGAGCCAGGAAAAGCACAAGAAAGCAAAGCCACATTTTAATGCCATACTAACCAACCAAGAGAGAACTAGACAGTGACAATAACGCCGTCTAGACGTTCACATTAAAAAAGTAACGGCAAAGTGCCTGACTCTTAGAATAGATTATATAGGAACGTTACATAAAAAAGAGCATTCCCAGAGAAAATAAAAACATGCCCACAAAACCAATCAAAACCCTTAACTACTTCACAATAAGCCTTACAGGTATTATGAAAATGACAAGTCACAAAAGAGCAGTGTAAGCCAAAATTAGAGAAATGCAGACAAGTGGTATAACTCAGGGAAAAAAAATCATTTTAGAAATGAAGGTTAAAAATCAAAAAATAGGGCCTCCCCGGTGGCGCAGCGGTTGAGCGCTGGATTGCGAAGCTGCCCGCAAGCCTCTGCAGCTCCGGTTCGATCCCGGCTGACGGGCGAGGGTCCCACACGGCGCGACAGACCTCTCCGGTCTTGCCCGCTGCTCCCCTAAGCAGTGTAGTTCAGTCTGCCTGTTCTGTTCCCCGCTCTTTCTCTGGTGAATCCTCTCACCCTCCCACACATCTGGCCTGAACCCCAGTTCTTGTATAAACAAATAAATAAATAAATAAATCTTTAAAAAAAAAAAAAGATTAAAGAGAAAGTGTCTAATACTGAAGACTCAACATAAGCACTTCCAAAACTCAATGAGTTCTCAAAACAAAATACTTTCAAAGAAGTTTGAAACACAAACCTGAAGAGTATAACATGTACCCAAAAACTGAAACCCAGAGCAACCACTGCCAAGACATGTTCTAGTAAAAGTATTGGGCTTTATAGAAGAATGCCTTTTAAGCATCTAGATAAAAAGAGCAAGTGATTTATTAAGTTATCATTAGAATTGAAAGGCATACTTAATGCAAAAAAATAATGGTAGCAATAACAACAACAATAATAATTAAGACACTACAAGAAAGACATGTAAGCCAAAGATTGCTATTCCATGAAAGGAATTCCCAAAAGAAGAAACTAGAGTTTCATGGAAGTGGTTGATTCCAGGTGTGGAATAGAAAATACACAAGTTGAGCCAGGAATGGCTTGTCATAAAACAGCAAGGAAGGTATAGGACAGACTGCCAAGTTCATGTCAAAAAAATTCAGAAACTTAACTTGACAAGGCGCCCACTGGCTAAAGATGGGACAATTTGGGCATCTGGATATTGCCAAGGCTGAAACCCACAGGGTGTTTATATCTGTAAGTATATAATGATTTAAAAAAAAAAAAAACCTAATTGCTCATCTAGTAAACAAAAGAGAAAGGTTCAAGTATTTCCCCTTCCTTTCCTATATGAACTTCATTCAACACTGGGAAACCAAAGGGTAAGGGTCTCCTTATAAATTCTACCAAATAAATGAAAAACAAATGCTAGAATTCTATCAGTGATTTACAGTGCGCAGCAAAGTAGTAGAACCCAGGCACTACGTATCACAAAAGGAGACACCAGACACCACTTACTATACTCTCTGCATGAAAGAACACATGGTCTTGGAGCCTGGCTAATGGGGTCAAAGAAAAGGCTGGTCCAGCCTCCAGGAACAGCTTTCAATTGGCAAGAAACAGAGACGGCAGAGGAATGTGCCGAATAGCACTGTGGGTAAGCAATTGGCACAGGCCACGCCAGAGTATGGGTTAGGCTACCAGCAGGCTCAAGTTCAACAGACAACAGACAAGGAAAACAGATGGAGAGGTTATGAAGACAAATCAAATCTTCTGAAACAGGCAGAACTCAAGGAATGCATGCAGAGCTGTATACCTGGGTGATAAAAACTATGAAGAAATTCAAGAGCACAGTCACATCAGGTCAGGATGGTTACTGCTGTTGTGGGAAGGGGCACAGGGTGGGCCATTTGAGTGGCGGGCAAATTTCAATTTCTATACCAAATTGGTGGTTACAAGTTGTTTCTCTAACAATGATTTGGTGAGCTATGCATTTGTTTTGTGGTTTACTATATTTTATTTTGTATTAACATGGTCTTCAAAAAAACAAAGACTTCAAGAAAACATAAGATACTTAAAACCATTACTTCTGGTGCTGTGAAAAAGTGCTTCTTATTCTCTTAAATTTTTCTTTTTCAAATGCGTCAAACTGAAAGAATTTAAGCAGTTCATCTAATGATAAACTGGAAGAAGAATTTTATTATGACTGTTTGAATTATATTCCTGCGTTACTTTTACAGTATTAATTGGTGCCACCCATGGAAAGTTGTTCCAGGTATCCCAGCCTTCCTAAGAATGACAAGAGAATATTCCTCTCTACCAGAATGGGAAATTGTAAAAAAAAAAAACCACAGCCACAGGAAATTAAGAAAAATAGAGTCTCTTCCCTCTCAACCCCCTTTATTGAAGACTGACCCAAATTATAGAGGTACTCATAGCTTGGGAGGTTGTAGCCAACGATGTAATGGGTCTTCCACCCCCCAAAAAGAGGGAAGCGAGGCCGGATTTCCATCTCTACGGAGTCATCCAAAATAAGGAGGTGGCTGGTGGAAACGTTGCCAATCTCATCACGGTAATAAACATCCTGGGCAGCAGCAGGGAGGATGGTCTGCAAGAGAGTGGACATCACCTTTCTAAGCCCTGCAGAAACCGACTCAGAAGAGATGATCCTCAATGCAGAGAAGATGCTCTACACCAAGACCTTCATCACAGGACTTAATTCACATTATCCCCAAGCTGTCAACACCTAGAATATGCCTGACCTGACCAAGGTCTCAAAATTTCTAGATATTGCATCTGCTTCTCAGTCAAGGTTGATAAAGAAAATTCTCCTGAAGAGGAATAGACAATCACAATACCTTTGTGAATACTAAACATAATACAAAGGTAACAACAATCTCTAAGTTATTTTGCAGGGAGGGAATCCAAAGAAAAGAAATTATGTCAAATGACTAGGTGGAATAGTTATAGAAGAGGTTTCTCCGCCTAATATTTTTTAATTGCATCTTTCAAATCCTTAAGACACATTTTGATAATGGGGGGTTTGGGAGGAGAGGGTGTAGAATATTAATATCTCCATACAATATGTCCTTCCTTCTATAATGTGAGTAGACAAAAATGCCTAAGATCATAAGACAAAAAAAGAACTGTATGTGCAGGAGCAACAAATCTTTTTTTAAAGCAGCATTATGAAAGGAAAAGAAAATATATAAAATTGTCAGCAACAGTTTGGGAAGGGTATGAGTATGTTTTCCTTCTTTTATTCAATGTTTCCGTTAAAAACATGGCCTACTTTTATAAATGAATTTGAATATTCTGTTGATCTCTGACATTGTCACTCAACTAACTTCTTGAACAGCAATCCCGAACAACTGTCCATACACAGCTAGGTATGAAGGATAGCTATGAAGTCACGGTTCCTCCCAATGCCCGCGCTGGGCACGGCATACCTTGAAGGAACGGATGGAGGATATCCCGCTATCTGGTTGTCTCTGGTAATCATAGCGTGAGAAAGGACCCTTGAGCACAGCCCCCGTGTGCTTCAGGTCCACATTTTCTTCTACAGCAATATTGCCCCAGTGAGAGACCTCGATGACACGGGTCATGCTGGTGATGGTCAGGAAAGGGCTGTTGTTCTCATAATGTACTTTAAAAGCATCCTAGAAAGGAAGGAAACAAGTAGTTCAAAGCTTTGGCAACAGAGGAATCAAGACTAGTTTAAAACAATCTGATCACAGAGACCATCTCTACACATCAGCATGAGAATGATCAAATTAATGATGTCCCTCATGTGGGCACCGTTTAAAAGTGATGTGTACCAGAAATTCTTAATGATGTGCAAATAAGTCTATTACGTGGAAAAACAAGATATACAAATTTGTTTATCATTTCAGAAACAAAAAATGTCTACATTCCACTTGTTCCTCTCACAGCAACGATGTGAGTAAATGGGGAAAGTATCCGAGAGAAAACACACACGACTCTCACTACAGGTAGGAAGGAGTTATGAGTTATTTCTACTTTGTGCTTACAATTCTTATTTTCCAGATTTCTACAGTGAGCTTTTAAAATAAGTTTATAGTTTTAAAACAAAGCTTAAATTATAAAACAAGCTTGACTAAGACTCATCTATTCCCAGCGAGACAGCAGAAAAACTGACAACTGAGGGTGACGCACAGTATTCCTGGATTTATCTAACCTGGAGGAGACTAATGTGGAAAAGGTCACAAAAAAGAGACTAGTCTCTGTGTTCCTCTCTGTTTGAAATTTTCCCATAACAAAATTTTAATTCGGTGAAATACCATTCTCTTCTTTATCCCGTCTACCCTGCTCTTCCCCCGCGCCCCGCTCCACCCTTGACTTCCCCTCCCCTCCCTCTTAACCTCAGAAATCTCACTTCATTTATTAAAGTCCACTAATTTTTATAAGTATCTTATTCTGTCAAATCATCCACATGTAAATGGCCAATAATTCATTGTCATTCTAATTTGCTTTACTACACGTAATTCCCTGACCTCCTTCCATCTTACTGTGAACAGCAATGTTTTAGCTTTCCTTTTGGCTGAACCGTCTTCCACAGTGGGTGTGGGCAGCCCACCTCTTCTTGATGCAGTCTTTTACCGATGAGCACTTAGGCTGCTTCCACCACATTCTCAGTAACATAAACACTGCAGAGCACTACAAGCACTGGGTACTCAGAAGCACGGGAGGGTGAGAGAATTCACCAGAGCCAGAGCAGGGAGCAGAGCAGGCAGAAGGACCGAAGTACACTGCAGAGCACAAGTTTCGAACCGGCGCCGCAGAGGCTGCGGGCAGCCTCGCAACCCAGCGCTCAAGTGGAGTGGATGGTTTTACACTCTTTAAATAAATGTGCAGGAGCGGGCTTGTTAGGTCACACAGTGGTTCCAGCTTTCATTTTTCAAGATCAATTCAGATCGTTTTCCAAACGGTTGCGTCAGTTTACAGTCCCACCAACGGTGTAATAGGGTTCCTCTTTCACCACATCCTCTACAGCACTTGTTGGGTTTGTTTTCTTTAATATGTGCCATTCTCAGGGGGTGAGAAGATATCTCATTGTGGTTTTAATCTGTACCTCCCTTATTAAAAGTGATGATGGAGGGCCTCCCTGGTGGCGCAAGGGGTTGCATTGCCATATGGGTTAGCTCCCTGGCCAGGGAGCGACCTCATGTTGCAGTGGCTGGAGGTTAGCTTAATAGTGCCAAGACTGGGGTCTCAGCAACATGAGGTTGATCCCTGGCCAGGGAGCTGACCCACATGGCATAGCAGACCTCTCCTGTCTTGCCCACTGTTTCCCTCAGCAGTGTATTTCAGTAGATCTGCCTGTTCTGCTTCCCTCTTTGGTGAATCCTCTCACTACCACCACCTACCCCCGCACCTGTGACTTACACCCAGTTCTTTTATGCATAAATAAATTAAAAAATAAAAATTGATGATGGACATTTCACGTATCTATTAGCGTTCTGGATATCCTCTTTGATAAACTGTTCATATCTGTTGCCCACTCATTAAGTGGGTTGTTTTATCATTGTTGAATTGTAAAAGTTCTTTCTATATCTTGAATATTAACCCCTTGTTGGGTGTATAATATATAAATATCTTCTCCCATTTAGTAGGATGTCTTTTTAATCTACTCATTTTCTTTCCCTGTGTAAGTTTTTTGTAATTTGAAGTAATTCCAGTTGCTTATTTTTTATTTCCCTTGCCATAGGAATCAGTTTCCAAAAATATCTTTAGTATTGATGTCACTGACCATATCAGCAATATTTTCTTCTATAATATTTTATTATAGCAGATCTTCTATCTAAAACTTTAATGTATTTGGAATTTTTTTTTGTGCATGAAGTTAGAGAAGCGATTCAACTTCATTTTTTAAAGGTGACATTTCAGGTTCCCCAGCACCATCTGTTAAAGAGACATTAATAACAAAATCTTTTTTTTTTTAATTTTTTTATAGATTTATTATTTATTTACACACACAAGCACTGGGTACAGTCAGAAGCGCGGGAGGGTGAGAGAATTCACCAGAGCCAGAGCGGGGAGCAGAGCAGGCAGAAGGACCGAAGTACACTGCTGAGGGGAGCAGCGGGCGGCAGGAGAGGTCTGCGCGCCATGTGGGACCCTCCTCCGGTGGCCGGGGAGCAGCCGGGGATCGAACCGGCACTGCAGAGGCTGCGGGCAGCTTCGCAACCCAGCACTCAACCGCTGCGCCACCGGGGAGGCCCTATAACAAAATCTTTTTTATGCCTTAATTGTTCCCTTTCCTTTTAAGAGGCAACCCCCAGGCTCAGCAGCACAGCCTGTTTTACTACTTAGCAGTCACTCTGGCCATATCAGACAGCACATCACACATTTCCCACCTCTAGGTCTTTATCCTTCTTACCACCTTGGTCCAGAATGCCTTTCCTTCTCTCCCAATTTCCCACTCCAACTCTTAAAATGCCACCTCCTTTAAAAGTCCCCCTAAATGCCCCAGCCTTTATCTGTACTCCCAAAATGAGAACGGTGACCCGATGAAGTTATTTTGCAAGTTAAAATCCTTGGGATAATCTTAAAAATGATTTTGGATTTCCATCCACTATACACCTCCCAAGCCACTTAGCAGTCACTCTAGAATAGACGTTCTATAAAGTACACAAGGATAAGCTGGACTCCAGAGGAGCCTACCTGACTATAGGCAGGGACATCTCGGAAAGGTCCATAATCCAGGAGGTCCTCAGAGCGCGTAGGGTTCCCCAACTTGGTGTAGCTCTCTACATTTCGAGAGGCAAGCTTCACACGCATTGTTTGTGTCTTTGTTGGATAGGGAGAGTAGAAATAATGGTTCCCTTCAAACACCACAAACTGTTTCTCTGACTGGGTGATCTGGGTTGGATATGGCTGAAGCACATGGGTATAGACTGTTTCCACAATGACTGAAATCTTGGCCCCAGGATCAAGGGCAACTGGAAGCTTGACTGTGAAGAATCTCCCACTGGAAGAAGACAAGACAAGGGAATTAAGAGATTAAGGAAATGGAAAGCAGCTAGCAGCTCAAAGTTATAGAAAAAATTTTGTCCCCATGATGAAAGCAGTTATCCTTAAGAAATCACCTTCAGGGGCCTCCCTGGTGGCACAAGGGGTTAAGACACAACCTATGATGCTATCCGTAGCCTCTGCAGCATGAGTTCGATCCCCGGCCGTCCAGGGAGCAATCCACATGGTGCAGCAGACCTCTCCTGTCTCGCCCGCTGTTCCCCTCAGCAGTGTATTTCAGTCTGCCTGTTCTGTTCCCCACTCTGTCTCTGGTGAATCCTCTCACCCACCACACCTCTGGCCTGTGCCCCAGCTCTTGTATGCATAAATAAATAAATCTTTTTTAAAAAAATCACCTTCAATCTATTAATTTAAGTCTTTTCAAACAAATATCTGGATGTCACCCAAGGTTGTTCATAGTTCATAGTAGTAAGAGAGTATCAAACAATGTAAATGTCCAATAGAAAATAAATAAATAATAAATGTCCATAGTAGGATAATGGCTAAAAACATTCCAGTAGAGTCACACAATGGAATTTAGTATTTCCACGTACAATGAAAATAACAAATCAGTTTACAAATGATAATTTATAATTTGACATAATTCCAGTAAAAAACAAATGCATACACAAGAATATGTGAAAAAGAGGACTTCAGTGAATGGCCCACACAATGTTCACAGTCACTGTTTTGAGGTAGGAAGATAAGCTTCATTTTGTTGTTTCTTCCAATTTGTTTTGAGTTTGTGGTAATCTCACAACCCGGGGGAGGAAAGGCTACTTGCAAGAAAATGAGATGGCCTAGAAACTACTAAAATCTATAGGTCATTAAGTTAAAAATGGATCTGAAATTTTCTAAGCCAGGAGAAAACATCTGCCATCAAAGGTTGGTAGAACATGGATCACTTTTCCTCACAGGACTTTACAGAATGCTAAACGTCAATGCTTAATTTTTTTTTTTTTATTTTTTTTATTTTATTATTTTTTATTTTTTTTATAGAGGCATGTTTTCTTTCTTTCTTTCTTTCTTTGTTTTTGTTTATACATGCACTGGGTACAGTCAGAAGCGCGGGAGGGTGAGAGAATTCACCAGAGCCAGAGCAGGGAGCAGAGCAGGCAGAAGGACCGAAGTACACTGCCGAGGGGAGCAGCGGGCGGCAGGAGAGGTCTGCGCGCCATGTGGGACCCTCCTCCGGTGGCCGGGGAGCAGCCGGGGATCGAACCGGCGCCGCAGAGGCTGCGGGCAGCTTCGCAACCCAGCGCTCAACCGCTGCGCCACCGGGGAGGCCCTCAATGCTTAATTTTAACCATCAGTCACACCATTACATTTCTTATCACTACTCCAAATTGAATAAGCCCTACACCTTCTCCCAAGATAGTTTTAACCAATTCCTGTTTTCAGGTCCCAAATCTGTTTCTCAACCCACTTTATCTTCTGAGTACGAATCTCCTATTTTCAAACACTGGACAGCTCCACTGAACCACCCACAGGAAAACAGTATGTCCAAATCCAGTGTCATTCATGATCCCATTAGCACTGCTACCATCTGACCACTCAGGCCTTTGCTGATGCCTCGTTCAACCCACTATCTAGTTGATCTTGCCTTGGAAAGCCTCTCCTTGGAAAGCCTCTGGCTTTCCACTGCCTTCTCCTCAATTTAAACCATTATCACTTGCCTAAATTAGACAGGTTTCTGCCTAATTAACCTCTAATTTTCTCCTTTATCATTATCTCCATCACCCTCAAATTTACCTGAGACTTTCAGGATAAATGTTTCCAGCACAAATGGATCTTGCTTAGATGATTCAGAGGATAGTTTGGTGTCATTATGAACATCAGTTCTTATTGAAATGCAGAAGCACCAACTAATGAAGTCTGTGATTGATAAAAGGCTGGACAAATAACACAGAGCTGACTATAGTGGTGTTTAAGGAACAGATCTATTTTTTTTTTTTAAGATTTATTTATTTATTTATGCAAGCACTGGGTACAGTCAGAAGCGTGGGAGGGTGAGAGAATTCACCAGAGACAGAGTGAGGAGCAGAACAGGCAGACCGATGAAATACACTGCTGAGGGGAGCAGCGGGTGGCAGGAGAGGTCTGCGCACCATCTGGGACCCTCACCCGGCAGCCAGGGATCGAACCGGCGCTGCAGAGGCTGTAGGCAGCCTCGCAGCCCAGCGCTCAACCGCTGCGCCACCAGGGGAGGCCCCAGATCTATTTTTTTTTTTTAGTTCATTTCCTCCTGGACCTAGTGGGAGAACGATTCTGTGAAGGACTTTTGGTTTTGCTAGGTAAAATAAAGCATTTAACCACTTACATTGCAAATAGATTTATAGAGACCCCAAATATGTGTCAGTTCCAGTGACAGGAAGGGGTAATAAAGACAAATCTGTGTGATGTATGCATTCATAGCTAGAAATAAATAAAATAGTATGCTCTTTAAAAGTTTTTAAATGTCCCCAACGGACTACTCCCCCAAAGAACTATATAAACTGGCCAAAGCACTCCATAAACACTCCATAAAAGCACTCCATAAACTGGCCTCATCCGTCCCCACACACACCATTCTCCACCTTCCTCTGAGTTCCAACCACTCTGAAGTTAACACTCCATGAAACGTCAAACCTCTGTGTCTACAGATATCTCTGCTTGGAACGCTCCTTCTCATTGTTAGCCCTCCTTGTGATTCAGTCAGGTTTACTGAGCTCTTACTATGTGCCAGATTCAGTTCTAAGTTCTGTTATACGTATTATTTGAGTGAATTTTAACCCTGATCACAAGGTAGGTATTATTTCTTTACTCAGGCAGAAACTAAGGAGCAGTTTCCCAAGGACACACAGCTAGCAAGCAGTAAGAAAGAAAGGATCTGAAGCCAGGCAATAAAACAACAAAAAACAACTAAGCTACCTATCTCTCCAAGAGATGAGCTGCAGGCCATCATGCAGAGCCAGGAAACACAGGAAGTGCCCTCAGACAGCAAGTGATTCAGAACAAAAACCTAAGTTGTCATGTTAGGGTTGTGGGGTAAACGACTGTTACGTTTTAGATAGACAGATTGATAAATTTAAATATGACCCCATTTATATCTTTACGGTAAAAGTATGTATGTACAGGCATATGCATAAATAGTGCAATTGTTATATAATATTCTTATTATTTATTTTTTGAAAACTAATGAGAAAAGTCTTCCAAACTCTGCAGGAGTTTTATATTAAGTATGAGCTAATGCAGGGCTTTTTAACTTCAGCACTTTTTTTTTTTAATATTTATTTTTATTTATTTATACATATAAGAACTAGGGTGTAGGGCAGAGGTGCCGTGGGTGAAAGGATTCACCACAGACAGAGTGGGAAGCAGAACAAGTGGAGCCACTGAAATATACTGCTGAGGGGGCAGCGGGCAAGACAGGAGAGGTCTGCCGTGACATGGGTCAGCTCCCTGGCCTTGGATCAAACTTGTGCTGCAGTGGCTGGCAAAAGCTTGACAGCACCGAGACTTCAACCCCTGTGCCAGCAGGGAGGCCCTAACCTCAGCACAGCACTCTTGACATTTTGGGGTAGATAATTCTCTGCTAGGAAGAGGGACCTGTCCTGAACATTTGAGGATATTTTGCAGCATCTACCCACTAGATGCCAGAACGAATCCCTGAGCTAAAAACATCTTTTCTCCCCACACCATTCATTCAAAAGTATTTCAGTGCCTGGTACCTAACATGCAAAATACTGACAACCGTTGAAGCTGGGTGATAGGACACACACTTTTAATGCAATTCTCCCCGGCTCTGTATGTGTATTTGAAAAATATCCTTAATAAGGTGTCTGAAATAAACAACTCCTAAGGGCCAGGCCCCATATTAGATGCTGAGGTTACAGGAGAGAACAGGAAAATTCAACCCAGCCTCCATAAAGCACAGTCACCATGGCAAAGAAGCACCTTCAGTGCCAGGAAGGCTTGAGTAGAGACGAGGTGAGGTGTGGGTGGGGGGAAGCGCTTCGCCTCTTGGATGGTGGCCAATCTTGGTTGGGAAGATAATCTGCTGAGGCAAACTGCTTGATGTTCTCACATACTGGTTCCCCATCTATTTGTTGGGGAATGCCTGGCCCCACAAGGGCTAGAGGGCTGACTTGGTATGGAAAGTAACTACTTTCTGGCTGTAAAACAAAGCGCCACAGTTAGGGGACTCCATTTTCAGTATTAGTAAGCAGAAAAGACAATAATGGGTCTGGAATTTGTGCTACTGGCCTGTTGCTTGTTATCACACAAGTATTCATTGGAACCTCTTCTAAGACATCCAGCACTTCCTAAACAACTCTCTTAGCTGAGGATTCTAACCCTGATACAGTAACCTGTAAAAAAAGGAGGCAAGATATATAGATATGGTAGCTGTTGGGTTGCTTACCTTTTCCCCTTAATTTTGGTTTCTTTTACTTCCAGGTTGTTCTCTTCCTCATCTTCTCCCTTAACCTACAACAAGACAAAGCAGGTTATTCTTTTTGATGTCCACCCACATCTAAATTTTGGGTCAACAATTAACTAACTGTCTCAAATTGTCCACATTAAAATATTCACGCTGTCGGCACTGTTTAAAGACTGGAATATGATCAAACATTGTCAAAGACTTAGTTTTGCCTGAGTAAGCTACAGGCACACCTCAGAGATACAGCAGGTTGGGTTCTAGACTAGTGCAATAAAGCGAGCATCTCAAAAAACAAGTCAAAAAAAGTACAAAAGAAAAAAAAGCACAAAAGAAAAAAAAAGCAAGCCACAAATTTTCTGGTTTCTCAATGAAGGTAAGTTATGTTTACACTATACTGTAGTCTACTAAGTATGTAACAGATTTATGTCTAAAAAGACAATGTCAATTCCGTAAACAAAAACACCTCATTGCTAAAAAATGCTAACCATCATCTAAGTCTAGACTTGCTCAACACAGGGTTGCCACAAACCTTTAATCTGTAAAAACTGCAGCATCTACAAGGTGCAATGAAAAACAGTAACACAAGGTACGCCTGCACATAACATCTTCCTGAATGAACAAGTACACATATACAAATATAAAGGCCTGCAAGGTTTCTTTCTGGACATTTTCTTCCACATATACATTCAAATACACATAGAAAATAAATAATTTTACTTATTATATAGAAGTGTCTCATGGAAATTTTAAAAAGCCCCATTTTTACTAGCACAGAAGAAGGTAACTGTGGCACAGATTCTTGGGGAGGAGTCAAAGGTCACTGTTTGGCACATTCCCTTCCTATCATCCCTTTATTGCAACAAGATGTGTAAGCAGGAAAAGGATGGTAGTTTCAGCAGGCTGCAGGGTCTTCCTAAGAAAGAGTAGGTTATCTCAAATCATGAAGCTGGAGTAGACTGCAGAAGGAGGGCGATACTTACACACATAGCCCACAGCCCTCTTTTGCAAATTCAACGACCACCAAAAGATAAAAATTTAAGAATACCATGTAGGACTAAGGCAGTAGTTCCCAAAGCTTTAAGGCAAAAGCTATCTCAAATTTTCAAAAAGCCTAAAAGCAACTTTACAATCACCCTCAACAAAGTTCTACAGGCTAATAACAAGTTTTATTACTTCAACCAGAATCTTATCACAGTGGGGACATGCTAGTTAGCGCACGTGTGCTGATCAGGAGAGCATATCTCTTCACTTCCACACTGGTTTTGTGTACTTAATAAAAGATTAGTGAGATAAAATAGTTCAAACATAAAATCCCAGTGACAGGAAAAACTGTAAGGTTGGTGCTTGGTAGTAAAAAGGGAGGAACCACCGGCTCCATGGTTCCTTCTACCAGTTCCTAAATTTCTACATGGAGAGTTGAAGATAATCCAACTAAAAGATTTCTAGCAATCGCACCAAAGCCTCCAAGTCAACTGTTGAAAAAATACACTTACCCCCTTTGTATCAACCAGCCCTTTCCCTGGGAGATAGGGACATAAAAGAGCACATACATCTCCCTGACTACAAAATTAACAATTGATTCTTTAATTGATCTGGTAGTTAAACTCAGGTTTTATACCCCAACACAACCCTACCTCACAGCAATCCAGGCAAGGAGAGCAAGTGGTACAACGAGGATCACACACACAAATCTTAAGTCAACTAACTTGAGCCCTCCCAACTCTTCACCATAGGACCTCAAATGGGCAGTTAAATAATGTAACAACAGACTACAGACTCCTCCCTGCAAAACACTTCCACCTCAAAGGGCCAGCATGCAGGTTAAATGAGAAAGCACTGAAGATACCTACCCCAAATCCTGACACAAAGTAGATTTTCAATAAGAAATGAGTACAGTAACCCAGCTTTCAAGCATTCTCCAGCATGACGGAATAACTAGCTTTCCCTGGGCTTTGTGACACTGTGGAAACTTCATTCAATGACAAGTACCTTTTATAAAAGAATGGGATTTAACAATCAAAGGCGGCAGCACAAATTTAAGTGATGATTTAATCCATCTTTGCACAAACCTTTGAAGGAAATTGCAGATTTTACCATGGACAAAGCAGGGAACTGAATAGGAGTCAATCTCTATAAACCCAGCTTTATAGCTCCAGCTTCAGAGAGTGAGGTGCCTAGTGGAAACAGAACACTAATAACTATTCCCTCAACAAAATAATTGGGTAATCACTTAATGGAAGTTGTTTCATGGAAATGGTTATAAAAACCAAACCTCTGTACATGCCTAATCTCTCTGTTCCCAAAGTCAACATGTTCTTTCCTTGAGAGTTGTAAAAATGTTCACGGAAATGCCAGAAAGTACACAAGCAAACTGGGGAGTCATTCACGACCTAAGTGTAAAATGAGACCCGACTGGAAAGAGAGAACCGGACATTACCTTTCTGCAAAGTTTTTAAAAGCTTATATGACTTTATGATTTTTAAAACTAATCTGAAAGGGCAACATTTTTTTTTTCCCATAAAAAGCATTCATTAGCAACCACAACAAGTAAGATCGTGTAAAATGGGTCTCAAGCGATTACAAAGGTGAAAACACGGAACCTGTCACCGTTCTGATTATATTAGCTGATGTTTGGAAGGAAGCACCCACTAACGTGCCAGGCGCTGAATAAGGGCACCAAGTTCATTTTAATTCATTTATTCGTCCTCCAGGCGGGCTCCCTCGGAAGTCGTGAGTATCGACGGGTAAGTGTGGCGCACCCTGCACCCTGCAAGGCCCTTCGCCGAGCCGACTGTTGTCCTCGCCGTGCCGGGGTAACCAGGGTCGATCAGGTTTGGGGACCCGAGGGGCGCGGCGGGGCGCAGGCTCCAGAGCGGCCCACGTGAGCCGCGCCCGCCCCGGGACGGGCTAACGCTGACGTGTCCGCAGCGGCGGGGCCGGGAGGGGGCTCGCGGCAGCCTGCCCGGCGGCCTCCGGGCCTGTCCCCCCCGCGCCCCTGGCTGCCCCTCCACCTCCCGCGGCCCCCAGGCTGCCCGCCCGCACAGCTCGGGTCCCACGGTCCCTCGGAGACCGAGGGGCGCGGCGCGGGGTGGGAAAACAAGCACCCCGCGCGGCAGGGCCCGCTCGCACTCACCTGCACGCCCAGGTGCGCCAGCCGCGCCTCGAGCTCCGGCTCCAGGGCCAGGAGGAAGGAGGAGGCGCGGGACGTGGACCCGCCGCCCGGGTGCGCCAGGACCACCTCGGCCGTCACCTTGGCCAGGTGGCTGCTCAGGTCCACCGTGCGCTTCACGTCCTCGTTGACCAGCGGCGGGGCCTCCGGGGAGGCGCGGCCCGGGGCCGGGATCCAGGCCCCGAGCAGCAGGAGCAAGAGCAGGCGGGCGGCGGGCGCCTCCATGACCGGGACGGAGCAGAGCCGCAGGCCGCGCCGAGCGCCACCGCCGCCCCGCCTCCAGCCACCCTGCCGCTGCTTATTGGGCCCAGACGGGCGCCACAAGATGGCGGCGCCCAGGGAGCAAGGACCCCGTCTCCAAGGCAACGGGCGGCCCGCGGGGCGCCTGATTGTACGTGCCCACGACACTAACCTGTGTGGACACCGGGGGTCTCCATCCCTTGCCTCTTGCCTCTGCTGCTTGACTCGGTACTTTCATTCAAGCAGAAAAAGTAAAAGCTTGGGCCATATTTTAAGCAGAAACAGGTTACCGGCGGTCTCAAAGTATCTCCCCTAAAATATCTAGTAATTACAAAGGGGAAAATAAGTTTATAGCGGAGAATCTTAGGAGACGCGATATTAACCAAGTAATCAAGGCTAACATCACCAATTACAAGATATGGTGGCATCATGTAGTCACTGATATGATACACCCAAAAGGGCACCTCAGTTCTGTGGCATTGCCACATAATTAGCTGAAAAGGGGTTTGTGTGTGCGTGTGTGTGTTGTTCATTGTACACACTGCCTCTTCTGGCCCAAATGGCTGAATATGGCCCACAGAGCAGAAACTGTTTACTATAAAGACCTTTTGAAGAAATTGTACACACTCCCATTCTAGTCTCAGACAAGATGTTCACACCAGAGAAAGCTGGGTGAAGGATGTGAGGGACAACAAGAATCTATCTTTACAGACTAACAGTCCCAAGATCAGGAACACTCTCTACCACTTTTTTCAATGCTTCCAGAAATCCCAAACTCAAAGCTTAAAAAAAATTTTAAACAATTAAGTGAAAGGTAAGCCACAGAATGGGAGAAGATATTGACTATGTAGGGGGGCAAAGTAAAATTTCCCCAACCCTCTGAGTTCTTCTTAGGCTGATCAAGCAAATAAATCAACATCAGGCAGAATAGTAGGAGATAAAGACCGAATTTAATTACATATATATGGAGAATTTACATGGTTACAAATTCCAGAGTAAATAGGACAATCTGAGAATTTAAATCCTGAGTTAAGGAATGGGATAGGGGTCTGAGGCGTAATGGGGAGAAGCAGGTTTCACATGATGAGATGACTGCATGATAAAACTACATCTGTATGTCTTCCCTGTCTTTTTTTTTTTTTTTTTAATTTTTTTTTTTTTTTAATAGAGGCATGCTTTATTTATTTATTTATTTGTTTGTTTGTTTTGTTTATACATGCACTGGGTACAGTCAGAAGCGCGGGAGGGTGAGAGAATTCACCAGAGCCAGAGCGGGGAGCAGAGCAGGCAGAAGGGCCGAAGTACACTGCTGAGGGGAGCAGCGGGCGGCAGGAGAGGTCTGCGCGCCATGTGGGACCCTCCTCCAGTGGCCGGGGAGCAGCCGGGGATCGAACCGGCGCCACAGAGGCTGCGGGCAGCTTCGCAACCCAGTGCTCAACCGCTGCGCCACCGGGGAGGCCCTGTCTTCCCTGTCTTAACATAAGTTTCTACAATAAGGCCTGGGGGCCTCCCTGCTGGCGCAGGGGTTAAAGACACAGCACTATCAAGTTATTGCCAGCCACTGCAGCTCCAGTTGGATCATTCCCCCCTCCCCATCCCTGGCCCCACAAGGGAGCTGATCTACAAGTGCTCCACCCACTCTGTCTCTGGTGAATCCTCTCACCCCCACCCCTGCATCTCTTGCCTGTACCCCAGATCTTATATGCATAAATAAATAAATCTTTTTTAAAAAATTAACAATTTCTCTTGAGACCCACAAGGTCTCAAACAACCTTAGTTCTATATAACAAGGTGACATTTATTGGAAAAAGCCTGCCTGGACAACTTGGCAAAAGTCTACCTGAACATTTTCCAGGAGGCCAATCCTTCAGAACACATCTAATAGAAAACTCATATCCAAAAAATGTATTAAAAAAGGTTAGTGGGCCTCCCCAGTGGCGCAGTGGCTTGAGGGCAGCACTGTGAAGCTGTCCGCAGCCTCTGCAACGTGGGTTCGATTCCCAGCCAGCCAGGGAGATTCCCACATGGTGGGGCAGACCTCTCCTGTCTTGCCCACTGCTCCCCTCAGCAGTGTATTTCGGTCCTTCTTCCTGTTCTGCTCCCGGCTCAGTCTCTGGTGAATTCTCTCACCCTCCCATGCCTCTGGCCTGTACCCCAGTGCTTGTATAAATAAATCAATCGTTGAAAAAAAAAGTTAGTAAGAAATGGTCAGATATAAGCAAGGTGTCACTGAGAAAGAAGGTTGTCTTTGTCTCCACTGCTAGCTGAGAGATTTTGCTTAGAGATCAAATCAGGCAAAAAAAATATTATATATTATTAAGAATATTATTATATTATATAATATAGTATATTATTGTATATTATATTATATATTACAATGTTTATATATATATATATATATATATATAAATATAAAATCTCCTCTCCTCTCAAAAAAAATGACTTTCTTTGTATCAGAGCTTGGAGAAGTACAATGGAAGTAGCCAGCACAGAGATCCCTATTACCCCAGTTTTATAGGTAAATAAATGGATTGCCAAGGATGAGGGACAGACTTCTCCCAAGTTCAGGCCCTAATTTCTGGAATTGGATTAAAACCTCCCGAGAATAGCTATAGTAACTGTCCTCTGCGTCATGGCCACTATTATTGTAACATGGTGGTCCCCAGGAAAGGGGGAGGTTCCAGGTTTCCTGTCCCACCCAAAAGGAGGGTGGAGCTGAGCAGGGAGAGAAGAAGCTGCAGAGGAGACTGAGGAAGGGAGAAAGCAGGATGAGAGCAAGAAGGAGACCTACAGGAGTGCATGGAGCCTAGAGACATGTGAAGAAACTACGCTTCCCTTTTGGTCATGGACTGGGTGACACAGATGTGGGTGAGACCCGTGGGGAGGTGACAATGGAAACTTTTATCTTGATTTTGATTTTGCTCTTTTCCTTCCGGGCTTGTCTGGTTGTTTCTGACCCTTTTCTGTGGGTACCCACTGGAAGATGCTTTGCACTTGTGGCAGGCTGTGGGGCCTTGCTCTGGGCCAATCCCATTTGGATGGAGTTTTACCCATCAGGGGATGGGTAACTTTGGGTGCTTAATTTAGAAACTAGATTCTTTGCCTTTCCTGTATTGTTTCCTAATTTTATTAAAGTTCCTTCCCATTAAAGTCTCATATGTTTTGTGTTGATGCAGCGGATGGCAGAACCTATTTAAAGCAGGCAGGTTTGTAGGGTCTGCGGTGTCCCTCTCTCTGCCCTGTAACATTATCACTACTTGCCCCACTTCCCATTCTCCAAGCTAGAAGCTTCACTAATGCAGACAGGTGCAGACAGGACAAAACCTGTATTGATCCTCTCTAGTTCATTCTCTCTGGGACTTCCTGAGGCCAGGCCTTCTGGCGCTCTTCCTCCACCCACTTCTCTCCCTTCCCCTCCCCTCCAGACATGTCCCAATAAACCACAGGAGGTTGCAAGAACTACAGTGATTGGTCTCTGCGCCTTTACCTTTTTCAGTACATACTTGCGACCAAAGAAATGTGCATCAGTAAGATCAAGGCCTCCCACCCCAACTGCCTGGGCATTGCTAGTGGCTGTACCAAGACCTTGAACAAAGTCTGCTTTCCTCAACTGTAGAGCACAGACAGGGCCGGGCACGTGGTTACTGTGTTCTTGCTATTATCAATGGAGAAGAAACCAGCATCAAGATGCAGGCAGTGAAATCTGATAAGTCACTTGACCCTCGCAAAAATCCCCAGATTAGACACTGTTAATTTATTTTAGGAAAAAAAGGAGGGGATTTCTGTAATCCCATCTCCACCAGGTTTAGCAGAGTGGTCAAGGCGAGTCCGTTTTCTCACCTGGAAATGGTAACAATGATACGCGCCTCGCTGGGCCGCGGGCAGGACTTAGCAAACAAAGAGGACAGAGCAGAGGCCCTTTGCAGACACGGGTTTCCTTCCCGCCCCGCCCCCAGCGCGCAACGCGCAGGCCCAGACTCCGCCCCAGACTGGCCCCTCTGGATTCGCTGTCGGGCCGGAAGGCGTCAAGGCCCCGCCCGAGCAGGACCGGAAGCAGAATCCCCCCCAGGTCAAAGCTGGCGTCGCTGCCCGCAGCCCGCCGCCAGAGGGCGCGAGTGGCTCCTGCGTTGGCTCGCACCTCCCTGGTCACGTCACCAGTTCGTTCCCGGAAACGGAGGGCTTTGCCGTACAAGATGGCCGCTTGCTTTGTGTTGTACGTGACGCTGGCAGGCCTTGTCTCTGGGCTATACGGTGGTCTCAGCGTGGTGATTGCCGCGCAGGCTACTGGTCCAGAGGGTTGGCGCGGGGTTGCAGCTACCTTTCTTGACTGGAAAGGCGGGCAAAGGTACAAGATGGCGGCCCCCACGCCGACAGGGAAATGGAAGCGAGCGCTCGGCCTTTGTTTACCGGAGAAGGTGGGGACCTGCTCTCGGAGCTCCGTTTGGGGTAATGACACCCCCATTGTGGAGCCAGTTTCCGCCCAACCACTTCGAGTGAGACCGACTCTTGTGGAAAAAAGCAAAAAGACTTGATTGCTTCAGCCACGTCGCCAGGGATCGCCCGGTGAAACAGCCCTCCTCTCGGGCGAGGTCGGCCTTCCGCGGACGGGCGAAGCCGCCGCTCGCGTGCTTAGGTGGAGCCAAGTCCAGGATAAATGAAGTGAGGGAAGGCTTTCCAGCCACCTGCAGGAAAATGTGGATGGATATGCTGTGGTGTGGTGGTTGTGGTTTTGTTATAGGGCAGCCCCGATATGGAACGGGGTGCCTGGCTGTGGGTCCTCACCCGCGCGCTTACAAGGGACTTATGAATACTCCACTACAGGCACACACAAAAGGTTCATAAAAGGTTTATTTACAAGGGAAAAGGAAATAAGGAAAATGTACAACTCAGGGAAAAATAGGGAAATAAAGTCTTTAATGCGTTCTACCCGATAAGCCCACCTGGAAACCCAAAGGCACTCTCCGAGCTGGCCAGACGCCGCAAGCTGGTGGAGAGTCAAAATGGGGGACCCCTCCAA